GTGCAAACTTCACACTGGTGGAGAGACAGAGCATATGATGAAATTGCCAAAGCACCTCAATTTTCAGAAATCCATGTATTGACACCCAAACAAGGGAAGCACAGCTCGATTGCATCAGCCCAGCTTCTCATCTTGGCATTGTGGGACAGATGGAGAAACAAATTGACATCTGAAAGGTCACTGGTTTTGCTATTCCTAGGCGGATATGCTTCTAACTGGGAACAAATTGACAAGTCACTGAAGTGAGGAGGGCTAATCCCCTTCTCTGCCTTCATCAAGTATTTAGAGATGATGCAATTATTGGCAAAAAGATAAGGGGATATGAGGGAAACTTAAGATTCTGTGATATTGTAAATGTACACAGGCTAAACACACCATTAAATGTCACACAGTTATTTTTCAGTGAGAGTGGAGGCATGAAGTAGGAATTTGAGAAGCAGTCAATGGGTTACATGTGTGACCTGCCTCCTTAGGGTAACACAAACATTTCACTGAAGTGTATTACAGCACAAGAGAGACCTGGCGGTCATTGACTAGATGGGACTGACTGCCTAGGCTGTTGATGAAGTAACAGTAAAGATTTGCATTATATTATAAATTACTTGTTCATGAGATGGAACCAGGGAGGTTTCCCATGTGCAAGTTTTCATCCCTGAAAATTACCTTGGGAATCTGAGCCAAAGTAAATAAATAAAGAGTCCACTCAAGTACACACAGCTATTTTCAGAATGATTAAGTTTAAGTTCCTCAATATGTGGAGGTATTATTAGAATAATAAAGTTATTCTTGTTATCCTGGGATTTATTGCACTTAAAACCATAGGTTTAAACAAAAGCATCACAAAACAACATTAACTGTATAAAATCTAATAACTGAACAATTCTGCACACCAAGCCTTAAGGTCAAAGGAATCTACCTGCATTGCATGTGACTAAGATGCAGTAGCTGATCATGCTGCCAAGTGTCCCCACACATGAACACATCAACGCTCCCCAAGTGCTGTGGACCCCCTTCAGACCACGGGCTGTCCCTTTAAGGTTTATTGAAAGGAAACAGAACACTACAAAAATACAAGAATGGTGAGAGGTAATCTATATCCTCAGAAGGCATTAGAGGGTCTTGTAAACAAGTTATATCAAATAAGCTGCCTTCACCACTCTCCTCAGGACGAGTTCAGGTACCTAGCAGCTTCTGGAATACCAGAGCAATGGATAATCTGCCCACATCATGTGCTTTGTTCTTTTTTCTATTAGTTGGGATGAAAATCAGAATAAGCTGGAGTTGAAGGCACACTAGATCTGAAATCCTAGCTCTGAAGTCCGAGGAACTGCTAGCTGAATGTTGGCTGTAAAGCCACAGAAAATTCCATTTATTTATTTATTTATTTATTTATTTATGTCACGAATTGCTTATTTTTGAATTAAGAAATTGTAATTGACATCCTCTTTAGGAGTTTCTCAAGGTCTGACAATTACTATGGCTGTACTGTTCTTCGGAACTCTTGGAGAGCATCCTGACACTTTCTCTCAGCATCTATTGGGGGGCCTCTGGAGCCTTATCACTCAGTCAGTGTCTTTCCAGGGAGAACCTCTGGCCCGGTGTTCTTTGGTTTCCTGTGCTGACTGGTAGATTGGGATGTGACTTAAGTCAGTGACACTGAGATCAAAGCTCAAGGAAGTTTCTTTTTTATATTTCATAGAGGATTTTCCCCAAGAAAGTCCCTGCCTCTTTTGTGCAGAAACTTCCAGAAGTAAGTCCTCTTTGTCTGTAAAAGATGAGGTCTGACATTGAGGCCTGATCTTTCTACCCCTCTAAACATGGGGCCAATGCTTTGAGGGAGATTCCCAGACGACTCTTTGGGGAAAAGGATCCAGAACTACAGAATTAAAAATGAACACCAAGGTCATTCCTATTTTTCTAACAAGCTGGAATTGGCATTTGATAGGGGATGAATATATATATATATATGTATATATATATTTATCTTATTGGTTGATGAGTAAAACAATAGAGGCAGGAAGATAGATAGGTCTAGGAGACAAGGAGAATGCTAGAAAAGGGAAGGCAGTGAGAGAGAGAGAGAGAGAGAGAGAGAGAGAGAGAGAGAGAGAGAGAGAGAGAGAGAGAGAGAGAGAGAGATGGGGTGGGGGGAGACTCTGAGGAAACACCATGTAGAGACCAGTAAGGCAGATGCACCAGGTATTCTCTGGCTAGATAAGGCCATGTAGAAACACATAGGTTAGTGTTATGGTTAGTAATGAAGACAGAGCTAGCCAGTAAGAAGCCCTAGCCATTGGCCAACAGTTTTAATAATTAAATATAAGTCTTTGTGTGCTTATTTATGGCAAATCAGCTGTGGGACCAAACTAGAAAGAAGCTCCAACAACAGGGGTTTTCTTCAGTGAGAGCCATTTGAAATATGTTTCTTTGTTCTGAAGTACTCATCTGAGATAACTGTTTCTCTGCATGCTTTGCAGAAAGTCAAAGAAACAATTCACCTCCACATGTCCCAGGCACTTAGGATGCTAAGAGGATAGTAACTAAGCAGGTTCTGACCCTGTGCTTCATTCATCATTGTAGCTCTAACAATTAGCACGAGGACTAGCAAGCAGTGCATACTCAATAAATGTACAATGAATGCTTACAAAAAATAAAGAAGGCACCAGGAAATGGAAAGATCTCCAATGCTCTTGGATAGGTAAGAACAATGTAGTAAAAATGGCAATTCTGCCAAAAAGCAATCTACAGACTCAATGCAATCCCCATCAAAATCCCAGCACGATTCTTTATAGACCTTGAAAGAACAATTCTCAACTTTATGTGGAAAAACAAAAAACCCAGGATAGCCAAGACAATTTTGCTCAACAAAGCAACGTCTGGAGGCATCTTCATCCCTGACTTCAAGCTCTATTATAGAGCTATAGTCCTGAAAACAGCTTGGTATTGGCAAAAAATTAGACAGGTAGACCAATGGATGGAATCAAATCGAAAACCCTAAGATTAATCCACAAACCTATGAGCAGCTGATTTTCAACAAAGAAGCTAAAATTATACAATGGTAAAAAGATAGCATCTTCAACAAATGGTGCTGGCATAACTGGATATTGGCATGTAGAAGACTGTATATAGAACCATGTCTATCGCCATGAACAAAACTTAAGTCCAAATGGATCAAAGACCTCAACATAAATCCAGCCACACTGAACCTGTTAGAAGAGAAAGTGGGAGGTACCCTTGAACGAATTGCTACAGGAGACTGCTTCCTGAACATGATACCAGTAGCACAAACACTGAGATCGACAATTAATAAATGGGACCTCCTGAAACTGAGAAGCTTCTATAAGGCAAAGGACACAGTCAGCAAGACAAAAAGACACCCCACAGATTGGAAAAAGATATTCACTAACCCCACATCTGACAGAGGGCTGATCTCCAAAATTTACAAAGAACTTAAGAAGCAAGTCTCCAAAACACCAAAGGATCCAATTAAAAAGTGGGGGACTGAACTAAATAGAGAATTCTCAATAGAGGAGTCTAAAATGGCTGAGAGACACTTGAGAAAGTGCTCAGCATCATTAGTCATTAGGGAAACACAACTCAAATCATCTCTGAGATATCATCTTACTCCTACCAGAACGGCTAAAATCAAAAACACCAATGACAGTTTGTGCTGGAGAGGATATGGACAAAGGGGAACACTCCTCCACTGCTGGTGGGAGTGCCAACTTGTACAGCCACTTTGGAAATCAGTATGGAGATTTCTCAGGAAAATGGGACTCAGTCTACAACAAGACCCAGCAATTCCACTCAGGCATATACCCAAAAGATGCCCATTCACACAACAAGGATGTCTGTTCCATTATGTTCACAGCAGCATTATATGTAATATCTAGATCCTGGAAGCAACCTAGATGCCCCTCAACTGAAGAGTGGATAGAGAAAATGTGGTACATTTACACAATGGAGTACTACTCAGCAGAAAGAAACAATGAAATCTTGAAAATTGCAGGCAAATGGAAGGCACTAGAGGAAACCATCCTGAGTGAGGTAACCCAGACACAAAAAGACAAACATGGTATGTGCTCTCTCATAAATGGATTTTAGATATGGATCAGGGGAGTGTCAGCATACAATCCCAGTGCCAGTGAGTCTGGGAAACAGGGAGGTTCCCAGAGAAGTTCAATGAGGCAAGATCTCCTGAGCAGATTGGGAACATCAGGGGAGGGGAGAGACATATGACAGGATAAGGGGGAGCTCTTGAATCCCAGACTGATGGCTGAGAGGCCAACAGGGAACTGATCCAGACTCCATGAATGTAGTCTCAGTAAGGAGGCCAAAGAAATCACTGGGGCCTTGGGTAGTAGATCAGATGTTTACCATGGTGTATGAATAATCTTTGGGAGTCCATTCCACATGGAGGGATGCTCTCTCAGCCTGTACACAGGGGGAAGGGCCTAGGTCCTGCCCTGGATGAAATGACAGACTTTGGAGATCCCTCCAAGGAGGGCCTCATCCTCCCTGGGGAATGATGTGGGGATGGGGTGGGGGGCTGGAGGGACTGGTGGAGGGACAAGGGAGGAGGGGTGGGAGAGGGAGCTGGGACTGACATGTAAAACATTCACATTTCTAATTTAAATAAAAACATATATTGAGGAAAGAAATAACCTTATCAACTAACATTTTTGAGCACCTGCTGCTTGCTAAGGCAGGGCATTGAAATACCATGAACAATCTTCAAATCTTCACAACTTGATTAGATGTCACCATGATTATCTCTGCTCAATAGACAATGTGAAAAAGGAAGCACTTTTTGCAGGAGTGTTCACTAAGTAAAGTAGCAGATTTACTGGCCTCTAGTCCAGACTTACCTGTTTTCAGAATTCCATTTCTCTATGGTTAATTTCAACAGTGTTTTCCTAGTCTGGTGCTGCTCAATACATGATCCACAGAACAGGTACAGCTCTGCAAACTAACTGAGTGGACACTGTTTTCCTTCTTAGGGTTTTCCCAACAAAACAGGTGCACATTCCATCTGAATGAGGTACAATCTTCTGCAAGAAATAAAAAGCCCAAACTGTCTGGAAAATAGAGAAGGGGCCAGAGAGCAAGATGAAAAGAAGGTCATGAGAAATAGAAGAATGAATGGACAAGGTCAATGTGAGCTACGTATTTATATGAAAATACCACAGCAAATCCTACAAATGTACAATTAATGTGTGATAATAATTGCAATTAAAATAATACAGTTTTATTACAGTATGCTTGTGCTAGCTCAGTTCATGACTTAAAGAAAACTCTTCTGTTAGAGGAATAATCACATATATGTAGCATTCCTGTAATGGTGCAAAATTTGCCTCGATACCAGTATCGAGTTACTATCAGCCCACAAAGAAGCCACTTTGCATTTACTCTCCTTGTTTCCCTATATTTGGATGTTTTGGATACTGCCTCCATCTCACAGTCCCAGCTCAGGAATATCTGACCCTCATTAAGTTGCTAAGGCTCTGAGGGCTGCTGTTGTGTCCTCGGGGTAGCAAGTCCCCACTTTTCTTTGAGAGAAGAGGACTTAGTTCTTTGTGATTCCTCAAAATGCAACATCTTTGGGAGAAGCCAACAGCCTGAACAGTGCTACCTCATTCAGTCCTGTAGGTCACTACTGAGGCACTGCCTCAGCAGCCATTTTGTTAGTGAGTGTTATTTTTCTCAAAAAGGAAAGAAGGAAAGGGTTGAGCTGGAACACAAATCCCCATTCCACAACACTCTGGTTGTGCTCATGTGCCTTTGACATGAATATGACGCTTTTACTGAATGGTATTTGGGGCCCTCTGGTGCTAGACAAGTCTTCACCTGTGTGACATGAATGCAAAGTCACCCATACATGCACTGTATCTGAGGGGAGAGAAGAACAGAAGGGACTTATCCAAAATTAAAAGAAGGTATTGACTTCTTTAGAATTTCTTACTGTGATATTAACTGGTAGGCGGTAGGTCTGTTCTAGTTTGGTTTCTCTAGCTGTGATAAAACTCAGACAAAAAGCAGTAGGTGAAAGGATCTATTTAGTTAATGATTCCAGATTGCAGTCCTTTATTTGGTCTGTTGCAGCAGCAGGATCTTGAGACAGCTTGTTACATCACATCCACAGTCAAGGGCAGAGAAAAAGGAATCCACAAATGGATGCATGCTTGTCCTCAGCTTGGTTACTTCACTCATATACTTCAGGACTCCCTATCTAGCAAACGGTGCCACCCATGGTAAGATAGGTCTTCCTATACAAATTAACCTAATTAAGATAATCTCCCATCAACATGCCACAGGCAACCTGATGTAGACAATCCTTCACTGAAACTTTCTTCCTAGCTAATACTAAGTTGTGCCACATTGACAATTAAAAATAACAATCTTGGAGTCTTTAAGTAGAATGAGAACCCATCAATATTTGCAAGTTTTCCATGGGAATGAAATAGAGTAAGAAGCAATAATTCTGTGTTTGCCCAATGCAAGGAACTCAAAAAAGTTAACTTGCTCAACAATCCACTTATAGACAGATGAAATCATATCTTATTGAATCATATTTTCATTAAAATGCAGAAAGTTGATAAACACAACCATAAAATTTTCAGCCTTGACTACACAGTGATGTCTTACAGATGCCAAAGTTTCCAAGTGTAACATGGGAACTTAAAGCAAACCCTTTACCTCCCTTCCCCCCTTACCCCACCATAGGAGAAAGTAAATGAATGGCATATTGAATGGGGTCAGAAAAGGAGGGTAGCAGATTGGAATGTCACTTGGAGGTAGCTAGATAAAGAGTACATATCACTAAAAACAAAATAAGGTGTGTCAGTAGATAATAAATGTTGACATGGAACTTGGCTCCTTCTGTCACAGCACAATTTATCATTCTGCATAACTCTGATTGGATGAGTTTTTCAGAAACTGAAAGAAATCTCAGTTAATTTTTCAGGACTGATGAGTGCCATGTCATGTATCTGTTCTTAGATTTCAACCTCCAGTTTGCTTCTCTCTTGGTAAATAAAGCACTTATAAAAAACACAGTAAGACAGGCTCTTACTTTTAGTTTCCAAACAAGAAAAATAGCTTGCTCATACATGTACATCACACACACACACACACACACACACACACACACACACACTCAAAGATGAATAGTATACAGGGTATATCTTAATGAAATAAAAATTATTATGAGTTTAGGCTATTATATAAGAATTTTTAAATGTTCATTTAGTCTTATATCTGAATACAGGCTTTATCCAATGAGTGTTAAGGGTTAAATATCAATCGACTAGCTAAACAGTTAAAGCCATCTGCTTTCTTGGCCATAACTCTTAAGACTTTGAGAGCTTTTCTAGGTTGGCTTCTATGCCATCCAGTGATCACCTTTGACATTATCTGACAAGCTTCCCAGAAGTGGGAACACATGAACATCTGGTGATTTTCATCTTATCTATGGTTTATCTTTTCAAAGGACAAAGATGTTGAGAGTTCCACAATAAAGAAGTCACTGCAGAAGCCTCTACCTCTAAGCACGGTCACATGGTGTGTGTTGTTCACTTTTGAAAGAACGTTCATGAATGAGTTACAGGAAATCACATTTCCATCGCATTGCATCCTATGAACCATGGGGCAGCATCCCATGCATCATCTCATACACCTTTCACAAAGGCTTGGATCCCTTTTTCAGGTAAGTGGAAGTTGGATTTCTGACAGGTAAATGGCTCCTATGCTTCTAAACATGGGAGCTGAGGGAGGGGTGGTCCTGCAGCTCTCTCCTCACCATTCCTTTCTATGAAGTCCAACTGTTTCTCTCTGGTCTTAGATTCCTTTGCAGACAATCAGGTGGACATAGGGGATAGCATAAATATATCAGTATTATAATCAGAATTCAGCCTCAATTCTTTCAGAGATTCATGTTAGGATTTGAAAGAAAAATGAGTGTGCCCACTTTAAGAGCTCTGGAAATGGTACATTCCTTCACCTTAAGAGAGGTGTGGAGGAGACCTTGAAAGCTGGGGAATATGGAGAACTAAGTGAAAGAGTCTCAGCTCAGGTAGGGTGGGGCCACTAAGAAGAATCGCTTGAAGAGCCACTGAGAAGGGCCACTGAAAAGAGCCACTGAGAAGCACCACATGGTCTTAGTCAAATCACTGAGAACGGATAACTTTGTGGCTGATCGGACACATACTGTCACAGGTGCCCAAATTCCTCACACAGTTCTATTAAAAACCTGTTTCCCTGATAAGGACAGAACTTTCCCAAGGCCTCATAGCAGGCAAGTGGAACTGGGATGTTTGGTTTGAGCTGAATTAATCAGATGTGGCTCTGTCTCCTATGGTTCATGTGCCAAAAAGTGAACCTTGCTGGAAGGTAGGAAGAAATTAGCCAGGAACTCTAACTGCGGGTGGGAAGTAGGGCCTTGGGCAGGTGTTTGGGTTGGATTAGATAAAGTCATCATGGAGCGCGGGATTTGAACCCACATGGCTTTAGAACAGTGGTTCTCAACATTCCTAATTCTGTGACACTTGCCTCATGTGCGGTAACCCCCAACCATAAAATTATTTTCATTAATACTTCATAACTGTAATTTTGCTACTTTTAAATTATCATATACATTTCTGTGTTTTCTGATGCTCTTAGGAGACCCTCAAAAGGAAGCCACTGCTTCAGATGAGGAAGGAGAGAAAGTGGGACACATACACATGCATGCATGCACACCTGTGCATGCTCACACACACACACACACACACAGAGAGAGAGAGAGAGAGAGAGAGAGAGAGAGAGAGGCCTCTCTGTTGTGATGCTTTGTAATATCCTGGTACTCGGTTAGCAAGACCGTTACTGGAGGTGAGGTGGTCCCTTGATCTTGCACTTTTAATAAGGAGTCAAAATCAACTTCTTTTCTTTATAAAGTAACTTTGCCTTGGGTATTTTGTTGTAGTAATGAAAAATAGATCAATACATCTTCCAGGATTTCACTGGCCTGAATGTCCATCTGACTTTGTTGACCTCTGAAGCATTTCCTTCTTCAAATTCTGTGTCAACTGCAGATTTTAGAAGTTCACTAATAAGAAAGTCAGCCTCTTCTAGTTGATTCACTGTAGTGTAGTTCTTTGGAGAAAGTTTGAATTGTAAGCTGCGAAACTGTGACATCCCACAGAAGACTGTGGCTCAATAGCACCATCCTTTGCTACTGTAGTCACTGTTTGGTTTTCTTTCTCTGGTATTCCTCTTTCTAGTTAGTTTTTTTAACTGATGTCTGATGCATATTTTATTCATCCCACTGTGAAGAACACTTCATATTTTTCCTGTTTTTCTGCTACCTAAATAAACACCATCTAGTAATGAGAATACTCCTCTCTCTCTGTCTCTGTCTCTGTGTCTCTCTCTCTGTCTCTCTCTGTCTCTGTCTCTGTCTCTGTCTGTCTGTCTCTCTCTGTCTGTCTCTGTCTCTGTCTGTCTCTGTGTCTCTGTCTCTGTCTCTGTCTCTGTCTCTGTCTCTCTCTCTCTCTCTCTCTCTCTCTCTCTCTCTCTCTCTCTCTCTCTCTCTCTCTCTCCAGAAAGTCAAACCTGAAAAGCACAAGTTTTCCACTAGTTTGGGGAAGTTTGCAACTATGATGATATGACGATATGATGATAATTTGAAACTGTAAGCTGCCATTTCAATTAAATATTTTGCTTTGTAAGAGTAGTTGCCATTGTCATGGTTCCTCTCCACAGCAATATAAACCCTAGCTAAGACACAGCCTCTGCACTACCCTGTTTCATTTCCTATGATTACAGTTTGGCATTGTTAGGAAGAAGTTCTTGCTCCATCAAGGCGCTCTAGTCATTTTCCTCAAGGCATAGAAGTTTCTGTTGATCTGGTTCCAACCATCTTTAACCTTTCCATACTTTATTTTCCTAATTGTGATTTTTCTAATAGATTCCCATGTAAAATTCCTATATATATACAGACTTTAATGACTATTATTTCATATTGTTAGACAATGCTATAATAACTGCTTTAAAACAGTTGCCAGGTACTTTTAATACCTAAGTCATATACTTGTTTTCTGTTCATTTATTTTCTCTTGATTTTAGTCAATCCTGCCTGCTTTTTTACATGTGTAGTAATTTTTAAATGTATATAGATATTGTAACAATTTATAGATATCTTGGATTCTATATTGTTGAAAGGAATTTTACATTGGAATCTATTAGAAAATTGTTTATATTTTCATTTTAGAACTCATCACCTA